TTAGACCGGTAAAAACAAAATTAACTAGACCCGACATTAAAATTGCTGGAATCTATTCAGTAGATTCGAAATTCACACAAATGGGTGATAATATGGACGGTTATCTTTATATTTTAACAATATAAGTGACTAAAAAGTCCAACATTGAAATGCAGTGTAGCTCTTCATAGGATCGAATCCCACTTGAGTCAGAATGTCTTACTTTACACACTGCTGTCATTATTTTAACATTTTCTAATATTCTTTTGTTTTTATAAAAAAAAGGCCACCATTTAACTATATATTCTGTGTTATATTTGTCCGACGACATAACCTCAAAGTTTCTCACTCTCACCATGTTTATAATATTTTATCACACTTATTTGTACGCGTGTTTTTAATTTCTGCATACAAAATTTCATATGAATAGCAGAATGGTACACTACTTAAAATGGTCAGACTGAAAGCAAAATTAAGATGTGGCACGGTTGCCATGTTGTTTTACGTTGTTGAGAAAGTTATAAAACAAAAGTAGCCAAGTTTTTCGCATATCTGTTACCATACATCGTTTCAGGTTCGTACATTCATGGCGCTAGTGTCGCTGCCACCTCACAAGTTCGTAGATTCGCCATGCTGTTATTACAACGAATATGAAATTAAAGAAATACGAACTTAAAGTAGCTTCCGGTAATATAATGTCCGTAGAACTCAGCTACTGTTATAATTTCTCCGTCTGCAATATGAACTTCGGATTTGCTTGTATCCGCCTACTACTCGAATATTAGTCGCTGTTGAAACGTCTCTGGCGCAGTTTGAGCTCTAGCTTTCTAGAATGTTTCCTGTAGATTTACTCACCTCCACGGTGTAACTTGGTCGGTACTCATCTTCCTGAAGATGTTCTAGTCTAACCCAGCGTGCTTTACGTGTGGCCGATATCCTTGCAGGTCCCGTCTGCACCACCCACCGGCTTCTACTCTGCTAACTACTGCAGGAACGACGCCCCGACGGCATGCGTCGCTATCGGCGCGCCGGTCAACCTCGTTCGCGTTCTATCTCTCTCTCTCTCCCCGCCGATTTCTCTTTCTTCCCATTGGCTACAATTTACATGTGCATCTCGGGGTCCGTAACGATAGTCTTGGTAATTAATGATTTGTTTTGGGTACAAATGTGAGGCAAAAATTGAAAGTTGCGCGAAATTCTATTTCTGGCTTCTGCTCGTCCACGTGACAAGAGATTTAGCCCCAAATTCAACAGATGTTGAGTTCGATTTCTGGAACCTTACAGTGGACACTGTGAACGCCGTTGTAGATCAGAATAACGTGGAAAGCCCGAAATGCAGGTGATCATTAAAGTACGAATTCCGATACGTTTATTTGTACTGTAAATGTAAAGGTACTTAGTATAAGTAGGATTTGAGGTTCTTACGGCGGTGAATACGAAGATGGCTGTCTTCCGGGTTGGCGTTTTTTTTTTACTCTCATAGAAGTTTACCGACGTTTCAGAGGTCCTTGCTGCCAAAGAGTACATCGTTCCAATGTTGTTTATCTAAGGAATAGTTATTTTGAGTGAGGACAGAATCTCTGGAGGTATTTATTTACTATAAATGTGCAGGAATAAAATAAAATTACAGCAAATTAATAAATAACTAAATAAGATAGGAAATAACACAAGAACGGAAAAAATAAGCGGGAAATAGAACAAGAGAGAAGCAAACAAAACAAAAAAGGACGCAAGAAGAAAAACAATGGAGAGAATAAAAGAAACATAAAAACAGACAGAGATTACCTTTGATAGTTCGTTTCAAAAATCGTGATTTTTAACTTAAAACTTTAATTGTAGGTCTACAAACTATCGAAAATTATATTCAGAGCCACAGTACGTCATCATCCCATGCTGTCGGACACAGGGCAATCGGTTTACGCTATAAATAACAATTAGAAACGGTTTCATCACGCAGTGCGTCCGAAGTAACAATAAACTGACTGCAAGGAATATTGGGCTCTACTCTGGTATGCGTGCCAGTTGCTAGATGAGACGGGTCGCTACTAAGTTGGCGAGGAGACAGCACAGAGATGTGGGAAGGCCATGGGTCTCTGAAAATATCACAAGGCGTGGAGGGCAATCGCTCCTTGAGGTACTAGAACATTGTCGGAAGCAACAGGCAATCAGTAATACACATACCCCACTCTCAGAAGCAAAGAGTTGGTGCCTAGATTAACAAAGTCGTCAATACTTAATTAACTACTGGATTAAATGTTCATCTTACTCCTAAAATATGTAACTAGCTAGCTGCTTAACTAAGTAACTAACTGGTTAGCTATGTACTTTACTGACTGACAAACGATCTAACTAGGTGAGTGGTTAACTGATTGACTGATCAAATAAGTAACTAAATAGGTGACTAAGTAGTTAGCTAGGTGCTTAAGTCATTGACTACCTACATAGGTATTTAACTAAGCAACCAGCCAGCTAGATACTTGTCTAAGCAACTAGTTAAGTTCTCAACTCACGAACTACCCAGCTAGATGTTTTTAACTGCGTAACTAGTTAGCTAGATGATTAGCTGCTTGCGTGGTCGAGTTCTTATCGCCCATACCTTCATTTTCACGTGATTTTCGCAATTTTTCGTACAAGTATAAGAGGTGAGGGGAGTTTTCGGAGACCCTGGCTATATTCCTGGAGTCTTGCCCAGCGACGTTAAAGCTTGTGACGACTTTCATTGCGATGGGCGTGAGGAACGAAAGAAAGTCAATTCCTGGAGGTTCAGAGGGTTTAGAAATCAGCCAAGCTTACGATCTGTGGAAGGCGTTCCGATCGCCCTGTTTTTTCATGAACCCCAGCCGTTCGCAGACGACAGCACTGTTGCTCGAATTCGTGTGCTGAGAGGAACAGCTGAACCGAACTGTACATTTGGCAATGTAAGCCAAAGCTGCAGCCAACTAGCGGACAGGGATGTCCAACAAAGATGTGGGTCACAAATTCATGACATCAAATAAGGCGTGATACGATTTGTTCTGCCTTCTTCTTCTTCTTCTTCCCCGTTTTCTATCTCCTTTTTTAGGTACGAAACGGGAAGACAAAAAAATTCTCCGAATTTAATATAATCTTAACTCCTTCATAAACGTAATTCTGGTTTAGTAATGCTGGCCCCAATTATTTTAACATTGCCGAATTTACGAAGGATCCGTTCGTTCAGAATTTTTTTAAATTCTCATTAAAGCCAAGTGATCGGACTACGTTGAAACAGGAGAAACCATAACTAGGCCTTTGTCATTACGGACAACAGGGAGAAAAACGTCCATGCCCCTAGCGAGATTTTAATCTGAGATCCCGGTGTCAGGGGCCTACGACCACCCCCATTTGAATATCATTGGTCTTTCCGCAAGATCTTGGCTCGTTTTGGAAGACGCACGCAGATCGACTGTTACAATGAAGCTAATAAGTGGACTCCGCTTCAGAAGCAAAGTTGAAGCCCACGGCTGGCATCAGACATTGCCAAAAGGTACGTAGTCTGTCGAGGACTTGTTAACTCGGACGTAACAAACAGCAGGGCCACCGGAAGAGGGAAAAAGAAACAATGAGAACACGTGGAGAGGCCATGGGATCTTGAGACCCACTTCTATTGTTTACCTATGGTTCTACTGACATTTCTGCGTCTGGGTAAAACCACTGCTGTTTCCGCCTCATCGTACAATCTCATGAGACGCTAAAATAAACTCTTCAGCAGATAGCGCGTCGTTGAATAGCCTATAAAGCAACAAACTGTATTTATCGTGTGCAAGTACAAGGCGTTCAAGGAAGTAACCATCTCTCATCTGCAGTCTTTCCTGTCCTCGCGTTTTAGAACATAAGCTTAACGTCACATTTCACAACATTTATGTTAGTGGGTTCTGAAAAACTAGTAAATCATGTGAAATCGTGGCTAAGTAGATGGGTGCAACAGAGGTAAACCGAGATGGAATACGTTTGGAGAGTATTCAGGCCTCTTGGCGATTAGTTTACAATCTTTTAGGTTAGGTTACCATATGCTACCTGTAAAATCGAATCACTGCAGTGCATAAATCTAAATTTTGGCTGTTGTTTTCGATGGTGTTTAAAAGCAGTGTCCTGAGGATAATATTTAGACCCAAGATGAAGTAACTCTTAGAGTAATGAAATCATGTATGAATGGAAAGAGAAGAAATGCAGAATACACACAGAATGTGAAGGTGTGGACTGAATTCAACGGACACCAATGGCGGACTCTTATGAACACCTTCGGGTATCATTAAATCAGATGATCACCTGTAGAACGATTAGCTGTTCAAGAATACCATGAACTTTGAACCCAGAAGCAGGAGGTTCACCTTTGAGTTGTTGGGTGCCTGTGGCCCACACTCGATGGACCAATGCCCAAATCACAGCATTCTTCGTGTCTGTCCTTGTCACTTCACACCGTGCAGTTGTGCATGTCCCTGCTGGAGTACCCGCTAAAATATGCGCTCCTCGCAAATATGCCAGAAATATCACT